GTCAGCATCATTGTAATGAGCTGGACACATCATAAAATCCTTCTGGTCTCGCAGTCACACTGGATGGTGATTTGCCTTTGCCATTTCTGGGGGTTTTAGATTCCATGTATAAGTTACCTGATAAAGCAGTAGTTCCCTCTCCTTCTCCCAAATCTCCATCTTTCAAAACTCAAGGGTCAGATCTCAGGTTTGGTATGTTGAGCATTAGCAAGTAGAGATGTACTGCTCGTGTCTAGATCTTTCATGCTGTTGTAGGTTCACCTTTATTTCTCCTGATCACTAAAGTTATTTTTGCAGGCGAGGTTTTGCTTCCAATTCTTTGACCAATTTAGTTGCCCTTTCCTAGGTCATATAGCTTCTTTGAAAGGTGATAGTTTCTGGTGAGCTTGTACATGGGCAGGTTTGGAATCCCTTTGACTTCGTGTGACTAAAGCACCACAGTCTCCAGTTAAGCGCTTACTCTGGGCCAGGAGCTCCGCTAGGAAGTAATGCAAAAGTAAACAATACAGGATCCCTGCCCTCAAAGAGCTGATAATTCATGGTTTCTAAGAAGTAGTCTATAGACTTCTGGACATTGTCATTGGATCACAAATGATAGTTCAGATCACAATGATAGTTCAGAATCCCACCATCAAACTCTAAGTATATTTGTGTTAATTCCTCTGAACTCATGCATCACTTCAGAGGGACCCAGATAGGTGTTAGCTGCTACATCTGTCTCACTTACCACTAGTTCTCAGGATCTTCCTGTGATTGGCCTAATGTTATATATCCTCTGACTAGTGGCCAAGATCCTTAGCACAACCCTGTCAGCTGTTATTCCATTTCATCAGTGAGGAAATGGAAGCTCAAATTAGTCACAGAAATGACAGACTTTAATGGTGTCTATAATGTTAGTTTTTGTCATATTTATACATATAATATTTGTTTTATTTATAGATAATATATGTATGTGTATATGTGTGTATATATACAATCTCATAGATAATATATGTATGTGTACATGTGTATGTATATACAATCTCATAGCAGCTACAGTCACCCTTTCATAAATCAGTTCATACCACTCTTTTGTTTAAATGCCACCGATTGCTTTCCGTTACACTCAGAATAAGAGACCCCCAAAGAAACCCTCCTTTCTTCTCTCACCTTTTACATCTTTCCTCTCCTTACCCACTGCACCTCGATGGTCTTCCCTTGGTTCTGTACAACAGTCTTGTTTCCTTCGCAGGTCCTTTTCTGGGCTGCTCCTACAGATCCGCTCAGGGGCTGGCTCCCTATTCAGCTTAGATACCACCTTTCACAGGGTGATCTGATCACTATCTAAAGTATCTACCCTCTCCTCCTGTCAAGTCACTTTCTATCGGATTACTCTGTTTCATTTTCTCCCTAACTCTCACCTTCTTTTATTTGTTTTTTCCTAGTCTGCCCCCCTTGACTAAAATGTAAACAAGTGTAAGCCTTGTTCTGTTTCGCCTGCCCCTAGAATCTGCTTAGCATGTAGCAGGTGTTTAATAAATATTGGTTGAGTGAATGAATAAATGCATTTGATAATGCCTTAATATTTCTGGATGGAAACCCTCAGCCCTTTTCTAGTCTCATTTTCTTAAATTCTCCTTAGGTCATTTCATCTACTCTTGTGGCTTTTGCTACGACTCTATTTACCTCAAGCCCAGATTATTGTTTCTGAGATGACCAGCCCTAAGCTGTATTTGACTTTTTTCTTTTTGTCTCCCATATTTATTTTTCATGTAATTTTAATTTACATAGTCAAAGATGCTCTTGGCCTTTGAGGGATAGGTGCCAAGAGGACCTGTATTATATTACACAATGTTAATACATTTTAGCATTTTGTATTTGGAAGGACTTAGATTTCATCTACTCCACATTCATGGCTTTCCTTGTTGATGCAGAAACTGAAGTCCAAGATAAAAATGAGCCAGAAATCTCATAGTTAGTGTGTGGTAGAACTCAACATTTCAGGGCGCGTTCCTCTTTCCTGGTAGTTATCTGCCTTATTAGACTCCAGCTTCCCTTTTGCTCACGCACACACACACACACACACACACACACAGACACACACAGCATTACTGATATAAAATTCACATACCATAACACAGTGCAAACACTAAAGTATGCAATTCAGTAGTTTTTAGGATATTTACAGAATTGTAAAGCCATCACAGCTATTTAACTTTAGAACATGTAAATCAGCCCCCAAAGAAACCCCATACCTATTTGTAATCACTCCCCATCCCCAAACTGCCCCCTTTTCCTTCCTCCCTCCCCTGCTTCAACCCTAGGAAACCACTAATCTACTTTCTGTCTCCAGGGACATGCCTATTCTGGACATTTCATATAAATGAACTCATACGATATGTGGCCTGCCTTCTGTGTCCGGCTTCTTTCACTTAGCTTAATCTTTCACCTTTTTTGTTGTGTTTAATCAAACCCTTTCTCTCACTGCCTCATTTCAATATGTGCCTTTGAGCAAAAATTAAACTCTGAATATTCTGGAATGCAAAGGCAAAAAAGAAAAGCACAAATATATTACACAGCACTTGTTAGTCATACAGGAAGCACACAGTTTATCAAGAGCACAGATATTTCTCTAATACTAATTTTAAGGGAAATCATCAATGTAGTCCTTTAATTTTACTGTATAGTTCTATCTTTTGATCACTAAAGATGTTTCTCTTGTTTTCTTATTTATACTACTTGTGGTTCCCTTTGGGTTGGACACTGTACTGTGATGAGTGTCAAGAAGCAGGAGAGGGTTACTGTGTGTTACCTTCAATGGCTCATCTGTTTCCAGGTGTGCAAGGGGAATTCTTTTTTAATCTTCAATAGCATTCCAGTTTGACTTCTACTATTAATTCTCAGGTTCTTCCCCCCATTCTTGATCACAATCCTTACTTCTATCTTAAATTTGTGATGTATTTATACAACTTTATTCCTGAAAGGGTCAAGCACTTTGCCAACTCTGATTTTAAAATAGGCCTCAAATAATACAAGTTCATTTGTAGGTGGGGTTGGGGACAGGCGAGTAGCTGAACCTAGGGAGAGATGCAAAGAGGAATGTGATTGCTTGCTGATGCCTGCCTACGGGTTTGAGAAGAGGAAAGTTCTGGCAGTTATGCTAAATCCCACATATAGTTTTTTCTTCTTTTGGACCCAAGATACAGGAAATTAAATTAAAATCATACTCCTCAACTACAGCAAACTAATGCCATCACTTCCTACAAAGCCCTGCTTTTGTTTTAATTTTCACCTTGATCTCTAATCCCACTTGAATTCATTTCCCTCTTCTGCATGCCTTCCTTATATGTTTGATATATGTCCTTAGAGACATGTGTGTATATATATTGTTTAGTGTTATTGGGTGTATAATTGGTGAGTAGTTACAAAAATAATAAATAATATTGTGACATAGATTTCATTCTGTTGCTGTTTTTTTAAGCCTACCACCTAATGTTTAAAGCCTATTCATGTGCTGGATTTATATTGAATCTATTGCACTAACTGCAACATAATGATTTATGGTATGTATCCCACATTTTACTTTTCCATTCCTCTAGTAATGGAAACCTGTCTCAAGCAGTAACATAGCGAACATCCCCATACCTGTCTCCTTAGAGGCCTGAGAAAGAATTCCTTTGGCCAATATGTTTAGTTGAGAGATTGGTGAGCCATACGGCCTAAATACACTAAATAAGTATTATCGTTATCCAGCCCCTCTTAGGCATAACCAGCATCCTGTCAGTCCTACCCCTACACTAATCATGGCTGCAGAGATTGGAGCTAGGCAGGTGCACAAGCTGTAAGGAGCTTGATGCTGGCGTGACGCGGTAGCACCTTGCCTCTCATTTCCTGCCTTGGGACTTCTCTCAGGTGGAGATGTGGGGCTGCTCAGCACTCATGTGGGAATCTTGCACAAGGAAATGGGGTAATGGTGGGAGAGGTTTACAGTCACGAGGCTACTCTTGGCCTTTGGCGGATAGGAACCAAAGGGTAGAAGCTTCCCCTTGCATCCCTTTGGGGGTCAATTCTGAGACATGGTTCATAGGCTGTAACCAAGATCCCTGTGGGATCGAGTACAGGTTGCCAGCAGTGGTTGCCAGCGTGAAAACATATCCTTGTCTTGGTTTTTCCTTCTTCCCTCACTCTGTCCCCCAGTTCCCCATTCCTGCTCCCTGTTATTACTTCCCAGAGGAACTGCCTGTAGACAAGCCTTTGTCTCTGGCTTTCAGGGGCTGCTAGATTGTTTACCAGAGGATCTGGGCCCTAATCTGAAGAGTTTGGCAAATGTCCAAATTGTGGCTGAGAAACCAGGCCATTTCAAAACTTCAGAGGTCCACCTTTTCACAGGAGGCTTTGTGTCTGCTGGGAAGGCTGCTCCCTGTGCAGGATCTTTCAGCTGTGGGTTGGTTGGTGATTTTTCTTTTTACGCTTAAAGCAGTTATTTTCAAAAGGTAGTTGCAATATACATTCATAAATGTATATATATATGTATTCATAAATGCATATATTTATGTATTCATAAATGTATTATATAAAATGTCTCTCCCAAACATTGACCACTGCCCTCATGACTCATAACTCCTGATGCACGGACAGTGCACTCATCCATGGAGGTACAGAGTTTTAAGAAAATTTGCTTCTCAACACTTGTTAATATAGAAACATCATATGATTCATGCTTCTCATGAAGGGCGTCGTAATCAGTTTATGTCCTGGAATATGCATATGCACTTGCCCTCCTGCCGTATTATCACTTGGGTTTGCTTAGGAAAAACGTGATCATTTATTTGAATGGACATGTGTCAATATTAGTGCTTCTGTGTGTGTATTTGCCAGGGTGCTCTATAGGATGAATTGTTATGAAAAAGTACAGCTCATAACCACACGGGAGCAGGGGATGGAAGGAATTTGTGTCCCTTCTCTTTTGGGAACAGCTTTTAAAAATTTCAGTATCCCCTTCTGCTTTTTTGTGTGAACAGGTGGTTAATACATATACCCCAGGAAAGAAGATTTGGCTTGAAGGTGTGGTAACCACCTCAGCTGGAGGCACAAACAATCTATCAGATTCCTATGCTGCAGGATTCCTGTGAGTAACACTTGCAGTTTTGACCCAAGGGGCTTCGAGGAAAGAAGGACAGCAACACTACAGCCCTGCTCAGTACTCTGCCCACTGGAGGGGGAGGGTTCATTTCCCTTTGCAAGTTAAATCTGTTACTCTGATTTCACAGGATTGCTTAATTGATTAAAATAATAATAGCAGGTAGCTTAGCCATGTATTCCAGAAGTAATTTCAATTTACTGGGTCACAATGTCCCAGTCCGAACAACATCAGCAAAGGTTCTGTTATATTATTGTCAGATTTTCCTTTTGATTTAAAACTTTTGTTTTTGGTTTACTTTATTTGTAATTGATTATCAATAAATTTTTGTTTTTATGAAAATATAATGTAATTGTCAATGTGAAAAAGATTTGAAAATCTTAATAATATTCATTCATAAGATAAAAATTAGCAATGCTCTTTATTCCAGTAAAGAAAAAAACCTTAATTCTATAAGTCACTGGTTTGGAGCTCCATATGGTTTCAGATTTGGAAAATAACTATGCATAATTTGTCCCTAGTATGCTGAATAGCACTTCTCAAAACTCATAGACTCTAATTTTATCCAGAGCAATTTCAATATAACAGAGAGTGCTGAGCATCTAGTGTGCTAGGAACTATAAGGGTATTTTGTGTACAATGCCAAAACACTGTGTTGATGAGCTCATAACCAACTAGGGGAATGCAAAGTAAGTAAGGAAGTATATCATTCAGTGTGCTGGCAGAGGGTGTTAATGAGGCTCTGGGGACGTATAGAGAGGAAGGTGTCACTGTTGACCAGGGCAGCAGAGTTTAGAAGGAGAAGACACTTGACTTGGAAATTAACAGATGGGAAGAAGTTTGCCAATGAGGTGGGTTAGAATAAGGGAATTCTAAGCAGAAGTTAAAACATGTATAAAGACTTAGGTGAGTGCATGGTGTATTTGGGCAGCCAAGAGTAGTTTTTTGTGGCTTAGAGCCTAGAGAATAAAGGTTAGGGTGAGAGAAGAAGGAAGAAATGACAGATGAAGCCAGACATGTGTGCTCGGGAAAGACCAAAATGCCCTAACTTTAATATTGAGAAGACTGAAGCTCTCTGTCACATTTATCACACATATATTATTACAACTAGAAGTTTCCCTAAGTTTCAGAAGTGGGAATACAAAGAGAGAGAGAGAGAAAAAAATAAATGAATTCGTGAATGAACTGAATGTGTAAATAATGAAGGCAGAGTTAGCAGTGAGTGTCAGAAGAACCAAGAGCGCAGTATTTTTGAAGGATGAGTTGGAAGCATGCCCTGGAGAATGGGTGTTTGGCACAGTGCGGTGTGTGCTAAGTGTGTGAGCAGTGCAGGTCCTCTGCTGTAATGTAATGTGTGTATGGTAGCATCGTTGAATACCTGTGTGGTTAGTTATAATGCAATTGTTATTGCATAGACTGCTGACAGTGATATACAAGGGATGCAATGACTGGACCATTCTTGCATAGGTCATGGAGTGTGTGCATTAGAATCACATGGAAAGTACATGTACAGTGATTGGGTACAAACTGGGGAGTTTGAGTGATGGAAAATATAGCACACGTGCTTCCCTGTGTGTGTGTCCTGTGGCCAGGGGTGGGGTGGGAGGAGTGATAATTAGGCTTACAAATGGTTTGGGTGTTCATTTTATTTGTTAGTATTACAGGAAGAAAAGGCAAGTCATTAGCAACAAGCTATTTTATGACCAAGGGCAATTCATTTTACTTCCCTGGATCTCTGTCTCTTTTACTATAAAGTGAAGAGTTTGGATTTGCTAATCTCTAAAATCTTTCGTAGCTGTGTATTTGATGCTTAAAGTAATCGTCTTTAAAGTACTAGGTAAATCTGGTGGTGGGGGTTGATGTGTATGTGTATATGTTAACCATTCTCTATGGAGCTTGTTATATGCCATTTTTAAAATGTATTGATGTAGCTCTTTTCCTGCTTTTCAGATGGCTGAACACCTTAGGAATGCTGGCCAATCAGGGTATTGATGTCGTGATACGGCACTCATTTTTTGACCATGGGTACAATCACCTCGTGGACCAGAATTTCAACCCATTACCAGTAAGTGTGAGATAAAGATTCCCAACTCCTTTCCACTCAGTTTTTTTTTTGATGGTGCCTTGGCCCACATTGGGAGACTTTTTCTCCTCATTCTGTTACTAGTTAATTTTATAAATTCGACAGAAGCTTTCTTGTCTTTGTTATTTTCATCCATTTCACAGACTTCTGGCTTTACTACACACACACATCTTTATATACACACATTATGGTGCCTTGGCCCACATTGGGAGACTTTTTCTCCTCATTCTGTTACTAGTTAATTTTATAAATTCGACAGAAGCTTTCTTGTCTTTGTTATTTTCATCCATTTCACAGACTTCTGGCTTTACTACACACACACATCTTTATATACACACATATATACACATATGCATGAGTGTATATACATATACAGATATACATATTTATGTACTTATTTACTACTATTATTTTAACAAACCTTGTGCAGTTGAGATTCCACATCTACTTGTAGCTTGTTTGAACTCTGCTTGAGAGTGAATTTTTCTAGATTGTTTTCCTCTAATGCTAATAGGAGACATTAGTTAACATCAGGTCAGATGCAACATGTTGAAAGCAGATGGGAGAGTGTTGGCCAAGATCAGATACAGTAGGACCCCATCTCTTGGGGAGCAGCTGAAGTGCACTTACAGTTAGATGTTGATGCATTTGTGACAGTGAGGGGATTGGCTCAGAGCACCAACTTCTCTAGGAAAGCAAAGGAAAGGGGAAGCTAAAAAGAATGGCAAGAAAAGATATATGGGTTTGTCTGATGACTTTATTGACCAACCAGAGAAATTTCATAGTCCAGAGAAGCTGCATTTATCAGAAATGTTATATGGGGTGTTCTTTTCACAGACGTCTTGGTCATGGCGAAAAGTCAGACGCCTCTCATTCACTCACAGATTGTCAGAGCCGGGGTTCCCTTTAAAGGTGATCCAGTTCCACCTCATGCAGCAGAGGAACTGATACCCCAGGGCTGAGAGAAGGGACATGTAGAGCCAGCCCTAGAACCTGTCCCTGTGCCCTGGTCTGGTGCTCTTCCTACAGAATTACTGCTGCTGGGTCCACAGTAAACAAACCCAAGTGGAACTGGTGAGAGTTCCTGCCATTTGCTTCCTTCTGCCTATGTCCACCCCTCACCCTCACCCCTGCTCTGAGCCAGGAGGCCTCCACCCAGAACAGAAAATGGCTTGACACCCAAAACATCATTCCCACGTCTCCAACTCTAGGTTAAAGTACTAAGTGCAATCATAGACTCTATGTGGCTCCAGTGAAATCACAAATACTAAAACTGATCGGCACACTTACTTTTATTCACAGTCAGGTTACCTCTATCAAAGTATGTGGGAGCTGCCATAGGGTGGAGAGGGGGCTTTCAAATGTGAACCATAGCGTTTTGTGTGTATTTGTTTATTTTCAGCCCATAAATTATTATTTTATCTTGTGGAGATAAAATAATAATTAGAAAAGTCTCTATGAAATGTAAGCATTAAACAAATGTATCATGCGAAAATAAATATATACAGATTATCATGGGGAGGGACTAGTAATAGATAGATAGATAGATAGATAGATAGATAGATAGATAGATAGATAGATAGACAGATAGACAGACAGACAGACAGACAGACAGATAGTACTATCACAAGGAGTCTGTGAGGGCTCCTTTACAGCGCATGTGCATGTATAAGGGACGCCTCTGAGAAGGTGATGTATAAGCCAGGAGCCCAGTGACAAGAAGCCAGCCACATGGCTTTTACAGGTACACATAAAGGCACCAAAGCAGGAAGAGACTTGGCATATTTGAGTGGCGGGGCCCTGGCAGAGAAGGGGCAGACTGGTTAGACATGAGGCCCCTAGGAGTCAGATCACACAGGGCTTTGGAAAGTGAAAAAGAGTTTGACTTTTACTACATGTAATAAGAAAAGCCATGTTACTTTACACAGGGAAGTAACATGATTTAACTTACATTTTAAAATCACCCTAGTATAATAAGTGCATCAAATTTTGGTTACAATTATTTTAATAAGCTGGCAAATACTTAATAATTTAAGGACCACCACTTTCATACATGGTACCTCAGTCATGCTGCAAACACTCTCCTTTATTCCTTTGTCCTTCCTTCTGTCCTTTATTCCTTCCCTCACTCATTCAAATCTCTCTCATGCCTCTTGATCTTATACTATGTGCTAATCACCAGGCAGTGGGTCACTGTAATGAACCAAAAGGACAAGGTCCCTGAACAGTTAGAGCTTATCATCTTGGGGAGCACACTGAAAAATGGGAAATAATAAATACATAAACAATGCTTTATCACAGTGGCTCTGAAGAGAATCTGGTTAGGTAATTATGACTATACCTACTTTTCTGAAAAGAAACTAGGGTTCTGTGAGTTACTAAGTAACCTATCCAAGGTTAGACAATTGTTAAGAGCTGGAATTCTCCAGAGTTTTTCCATTTCAAATCTGACTTTCTTCTCAGCACACTGCAGTCTGTCTTGTGGTATTCCCTGTGTTATCTGTCCTGTGGTCTGAAGCGAGTATTTGCCTCAGAGTTGGGTCTACAGATGAAAACCTAGGCTAGAAAAAGATGCTCTTTGGGTGACAGACTTGATTTCCAGAGTTGGCCAAACCTGGATTCCATATCAGCTCTGTACCTTTGATGGCTGGGTGGAGGTTAAAGACACCAGTCTGTTTTCAAGATGCTTTTTTCTTCCCAAATAAGAATTTCTGTGGGTGACTTCCTTTAAAAGCATAGCACAAGAGACCTTAGCTGATACATGGTAGCAGCAGAGCTCACAGAAGTTCGTAGGAAACTGAAACAAGTCCCACTGATTTAGCACAAAGGCTCAAATGAGCTGGGCAGCCGTATTTCTGCAAACACCGAACTCTAATAAAGGAACTGTATGTAAAAGCACTTAAAAAGGTAGCAGGCTTTCTTTTTATCTTTTTTTGTGCTAATAAATTCTGCACCTTATAGTAAAGAACTTGGCAGCTGACAGAGTGTGTCCTAAGTCTCCCCTGGAAAGAATTTACTAGGCTGAAGGGCACCAATCTGACAGAACTTGCCAGCAGGCCCCTGGAATTTGTAATGGAGACAGACCTGGGAATCATATTGGTTGCCACTTCAGAGAGTACAGTTGATAGCCAAACACTGCCAGTAAAAACTTGTGGATTTTACATTGTGATTAAATCTTCAAGAGAGTTTGTTAAGCGCTTAGGAGATTAGTGAGTTGTATTTTGGTTGCCTCCCAAAAAATCAGTATTTTCTATTCTAGTCTTTCAAACTCAGCTCAGTACATTTTAGGAAAAGATCTAATTAGCACATACTGTTCTGTTTTTGTTTTGGTTAGTACTCTTAGATAAATTCAGAAAAAGTATAGATTTTGGCTTAATGGTTCCTCAACCCACGTCCCATGTTACCCTTCTGCCCACCCAGTCAACTTTGATCCCAGTTTGTGGGATTCCAGCCTAGTTCTGAAAGATCCATTCCAATAGAGCCATTCCAATCTAAGGTAAGAGAGAAAATGAGGGTGGCCCTTTAAAAAGGAAACTTGTCTTCAGAAAAGTCCCTTTTCAACTACAATCCACGTTCTTCATGGTGGTTCCTCTACAAAAGTGCCAACACTCCTACTCTTGTGACATTTCCCTTCTCCTGGGAAGAGGAGAACATTTGGTTCAGCAGTGCTTCATCACTCCACTCCCACCCTTTTCCCCTGACCCCCCTGCCATTGGGAAAGAGGGAGCACGTGAGTCTCCACAGCCAGTCAGCCAGTCATGGGCTCCCTTGGGAGTCAGAGATGTTTGTGCGGAAGAAATCTGCACATTCAGTGGACATAGTCCAGACCCCATCAGCCGTGGGCATTTCTCCTAAGAGAGGGTTTGGGAATTTAGCTTGCTGTTTTGTTTAAGAGCATGATTTACAGAGCTTCCAGGGAAAGGAATGGTGAATTACTAGTCAACATCTTAACTCCCATGCCAGCCTAGCAATATAATTCAGTTCAAAAAACATTGACACTTCAAACGTGTCTGGCTCTGTGCTGGGTATTCTGGAAACACGCAGATAAATAAGGTATGGTTCCTTCATCTGCATAGTTAACAACCTGGTGTGTGTCTGTGTTTGGGGGATTACAGTATAGTCCTCTATTTAGAATAAAGCAGAAAGCTAGTGCACATTGGATCACCTTTCCTATACTGGGCATGGTGGTGGTGATATTTATATTTGCTGTCACATTCTTTTTTGCTGACTGCCCCTGCTGAATAATAATAAGCATCAACTCAGCCCAGTGCACACGTACTGAGCACTTACTGTGTACATTGTTCTAGAATACAGTCAGTGGTCATGGATTGGAGTACAGCTCCCTAGTCCATGATGGACTGAACCGAGGGCTGTAGTTTGCATGGCAACATGCTCTGATTCCCACCACTGCTGTGGTGATTAGAAAGATACTGTGAATCTAATGGTGCTGTCAGTTAGCCAGTCACAGGGATGAGATACTACATGCTCCATCCTTGCTTCACTTTGAAATGTTAGCAGCGCCCCTTATGCACTGCACAACCATGATATGGACACAGGATCAGCTTAGATCTGTCCATTTCCAAAGGAAGAATATCCAGTTAAAAATCCTCATATTATGATGCTAGATTGATGCACCCTTTTCTTGTAAGAAGAACACCACCTAATTAGGAGGCCTCCTGGGGAGCAGCAGGAGCTTGGACTATGACAAGATTCACAGGTTCTAGTCCAAGTTCCACCATTGATTAAGTGTGTATCTTTGGGTTCCAGTTTTCTAATCACTTAAGTTGTGATAAAAACATCTCCTCCATCTACTCCAAAAGATATTGTTGTAATCCTTGAGAAAATTAGATAGGACAATAGGAATCTGATTTCGTATATACTCATACACATAGGAAATTTCTGGAAGGGACTACATCTGAATGGTAAAAGTGATTTTCTTTGGTGAAATGACAGAGTGTTTAATTTTCTTCTTTGTGGCTTTT